CCACAGCAACAAATCACCCTATAGAAACCCAGGAAAGTTATCCACCTCCACCCTTGAAGGCTAATTAAAAAAAAATAATAAAACTTTTCCCTAAAATAATCAAATAAACAACAAATATAACCCACATAAAAAACAAACCATAAAATTTTATGACTTTCAGAAGTCATAGGAAGTGACGAAACGCGTCAGGATACGTGACGTCAGACGTATCGACGTTGACCGGAAGCGCGATCGCGGCCATCTTGGAAGTGGGAACATGTGGCCAATGTTTCCCTAAATCCGTCCACACTTGTATCCCTGTGAGGAGGAGCTGTTGTCACCCAGATTTTATGTGAGTTACCAATAAAGGAGGATATGTTCCATATTATCTGTGACTGTGGATTTTCTTGAGAATGGAAGAAAAACCCTAGCATTGGACAAAATCGGTTTGAGGAGAAATTAACCCAGAGTGGTGCCCTGCCTTGACGTTTTGGATATAGGGTAATTACCCATCAGTATATAAGTTGGAGAGTGTTGTTTTGGGTTCAGGGGATCACTGAGATACACACTTGCAGTGTCAATTAGAAGTTGTTTTTTTATATATGGTGCTTTTATCACTTTTTTATATGAGTGTGTTTCACTTATATCCATTTTCACTATAGGATATTGGCATGTGTATAGATACTCGTCTATAGAGTATACACATTTATATAGGATTTTGCATGCTGCGTGGCACGCGTGTTGTTTTATATAAAAAGGTATGACACTATGTCAAGTTTTTTCTTTTTGAGGTGTACTGTCATCAGGATTTGCGGATATTGAGAAGGAGTTTTTGATGAAAGAAGAAAGAAATTTATTATTTACACCTGTGGGGATTATTATTTTTTTGGATTATAATTTTTTGGATTATTTATTATTTTTGTATTTTTTGAATTTTGGATATTTTATGGTTTATGTTTTTTATGTGGGTTATATTTTGTGGTTTGATTATTTTAGGGAAAAGTTTCATTATTTTGCTACATACAGTTTAGTTTATACAGCACACACAGCTACTGCCATTGTTAGTGAAGTAAATAGTTTGGACAGGCTTGGCCCAAATGAACGGTTTAAAGTAAAATGAAAACACGAAGATCAACTTTAATCAATATAAACGGGGTTATACAAGGCCTCTACGGTGTGGTTAAGAAAATAAGAATTACAGCCCTCTGACGGTTCTCAAAATGTTTATCCCAGCAGTTTTCAGGATAAAGCATATGAACTTTTTGTCTAACCCAAATAAAATTCAAAACCCTTAGCATATGTGCTAAACACAAGATGGAGAGATAAATGCAACATACTTTGGCGCAATTTTGTTTTCTCAGAAATCACATCTTTAGTCCTCTGTCGCTTCCTTGCAGAGTCAGGCCTGGAAGATTCTTCATCTTTTTTATTGTTATTTTCCTAAAGAAGAATAGTGAATAAGCAATATGACAATTTCTATATATCACACTGGAGAGTACATTTGTTGAACCTAAATAAATACAATAACTAAAACATAGTTTATTAGGCGTACCTCTCAAAATGTAAAAATGGCTACACAAAGAAAATGGATATTGGATACTAAACAAGACTTTTGAGCCAATACATGAACAAGCGCAACAATAAAACCTGTAAAAGCTAAACAAATGTCAATATATTAGTTCCAAAAGTGTGGGTACTGACCAATATGTGAAATGCCTATATGTCATTTTCAAGTTTGCAGGAACAATACATGCTATTACTATACAGAAAGGCCTTGTTCACATAATCATAAGAACATCATAAGAACAGTCTGGACAAGCTTTTACACAACAATGGCAGAGCTTTGATGAAGCTTTTAAACACTTCCGCTCCGGAAGATTTACCCCTCTTCATGACCAGGTCATTTCTTGCTATTCAGCGCTGCTCTATTTTAACTGGTAATTGCGCAGTCATACAATGCCATACCAACACAAAATGTATGTCTTTAGATCACACAAAAAATAAAGCTTCTTTTGGTAGTATATTATCACCACAACAATGGTAAACTTAGGCCAAAATGTATAGTGCTACAGGTCTTTGGTATAAAAGAAAAAACAAATATGTGTATATTAATTGGTTTGTGTGAAAGTTATGGTATAGATATACTTGCATATATAGCTTTTACTTTCACTGCCTAATCACATTTCTTGAGGCGCTAAAAAGGTCAGGACAGTACAAACCCCCTCCACCCAAATGACTCCTTCTTGGAAAGTAGATACCCCAAGAAATTTGCGAAGAGGCAAGTTGAGTCCATGGAAGATTTTATTTTTTGCCATAAATTTTTGAAAAACGAAATTATACACAAATTTGTCAATTAAATTCTATATGGCTCACAAATGCCACAGCTATTTGGAATACCAACCCAAAAACACATTCTGCTACTTTTTAGATTTCTCCTCTGCCCTTAAAGCATCTGATCACACAAAGATGTGTGATCAGATGTTTTCTCAATTTAAAAATGGCGCTGTTTATATCCAGCGAAACATAAATGATGAAATACTTGTAGCTTCCAGTTGCTTAGACCACAGAAATGACTGGAACATTCTGGTCTCCGATCAGCTCTATGGTCAGTCGGCAGAATTGCCAGCTGCATTCTCGGATTCCCCTGTGGGATGGGAGAGCCCAAGAAAGCCATGGAATGTGGTGGGACTTCTTCCCACTGCTTGTAAAAATGACCCAGCAGCTAGGATTGTTTTTACATGAAAGCCCACTGCCAGCTGAAAAAACGATACCAGGATGATACCTGTAGCTGCAGGCATTATTCTGGTATAACCAAAGTTAAGTGATGTACCTGTACGTTGCTGGTCCTTGTTGGGCATATATGTAACAGCAGAGAAAATGGGCATATGATGAATCAGGTTTGTGGACCAATATGACTGCAATTCATACTTTTTTGTAATACCCATTTTGGAGGGTTAGGCCCATAAAGTTTTAAATTTAAAAAACCATGATAGGTTTCCATGCAAATTGCCTGGCAAAAGCTGCATTTGGGTGGGTGGCGATATATTGTTGTGCATATAAATTGATTCAGCCTCAACTGAAATTTTCCCTGAAAAACAGCAGAAGGGCCAGACGCTAGTGCTGGTTTTCAAACAAGCATGATCCTGCTAACACTGCGTTTATGGGAACACCATACTAAAGGAGGCACAAGTATAGTTCTGTTTGTGATCAATATATTGTTCTGTATATGTACTAGTAATGGCGGTGATCAGCAACACGGAAACAGAAAGCTTTCCCAGAGCCAATCACTCGCACGTACATTTAAAAAAAAAAAAAAAAAAAAATCAGGGTAGAATAAGGTTGCCATAGTAACCTTGTACTACTCTGAGGGGGTGGGGTGATCAGGGATTTTTTGTCCCCCACTTTCCATTGCAGGAGCAATAAAGAATAATTGTTCCTGCAATGCAATGTTTGCTTTGAACGGTCATGAATGGGTTAAGTTCATGACAGTTAAAAATACAGTGATCTGTGATTGTCTCCACTGGTCAAATGGTACAGGGTGCTGTGATTGGCCCATGTACCATATGAGAGCTGTGGGCCAATCGCAGCTCACTAGGAAGAAAAGCAGAGCGGTTATGAATCAGATTGATTCATAACAGCTTTGCAAACATTGTGATTGCATAGCAATCACATGACCACTGGGATCCGCTATGCCCCCTCTTTAGTTGATACAGCCAGAGCGATGTATGGGTATGTCACTTTGCCTGTAGCTGCTGCCCGCCTGCAGTAAATTACAGACAGGAAGCGGTAAAAGGATAAGTTCACTTTTTGGAAGATATTCAGGGTGTAACATGTTACAAAAACGGACTGTCTCCGCTCCCACCCGATTGCCCGCTGTAACAGCTAGGATCTCCTCCTCCCTCTAGCGGTCAAAACATTTAAACAACGCAGCTGTACGGGTTGTAGTTCTCAATGAACTACTACAGTGTTGTGGAAGTTCACTGTGCTTTCCTGCATCTGCTTGCCGCATATGATGTATTGTACACAGGAACACTGACAGGTCTGCAGGAGACCTGCATGGCACCAGCAATCTCTTGATCACTGGTTTAAGGCCTTAGAGCAGGGTTTCTCAGCTAGGGTTCCTTGACCAATGAACAATTTCTGCCTATAAGATAAGTTCCCACTGACACCATTGATCTATTTAGCCATCTGTAAGGGGGTGATTTTCCCAATGACCACAAGTGTAAGGAGCATTGTTCCCACTGACCACCACACTAAAGTACCACGAGTTACCAATAAAGTAATTAGTAGGGGTTCCTTGAGACCAGAAAGTTATTTCAAGGGTTCCGCTGGGTTGAAAAGGTTGAGGAAGGCTGCCTTAGAAGCTCCAGAAACAAAAAATCAATAAATGCATATTTTTTTTACCTGCAATTTGTCAAAAGGTGAACATATCCATTAAAATTGTTGTACAGCATATACATGTTTTTACACATTCAATAAGTTATTTTCAGTTACTAGATAGAGAATTATAAAAAATATTTTTTTTAACTCTCCATTTCTGTTTTTAGCCAAGTGCATCCTGAATTTTCGGTTTTGGTCCAGAATTTTCATTTCGGTGCACTAATAGTATGTTGTGTTTTAGGCACTGGAGGTTTCCGGGCTTCTGCTCGCCCCAGATCCCAGCAGCAGGTGACATCATATCCATCACGCCCCGTAGGTGATTTTAGGTGAAAGCATCCTTTAAAAAAGTACCAATCAGCTAGCAAATGTTAAACCCAGGTTTTAAAAATGACGCAGTACTATGTGAAGACTGCTAGCAGCTTGCGTAAAATGAGTGCCAACCTTCCCATTACAATCTGTGTATAACATTCCAAAACTGGAACAGAAGACTTCTTTAAAAGGCTTCAAAAAAAAAAAAAGCGGCTTAACCACCTCCCGCCCACCATATAAGGAAATGAAGGGCACAAGGCGGTTCTCTCGTTCTGGGAGGATGAGATATGACGTCCTCCCACTCTAACTGCGAGGGCGTGCAGCAATCAGTGGTGCGCTGGTCCCTTGGACACAGCGAATCACCGATCAACAGAAAGAGCCAAAGATGTCGGCTGTGTCATGTGATCAGCGGTGTCCAATCACAGCTGATCGCATGTAAATAAGGAAATGCTGGTTATCAGCATTTCTCTCCTCACGAGCGGTCAGTATGAGAGCTTGTGAGGAGAGTCGGTAATCGTATTCTTCAGAGGGGACATGTACACTGATCATCAGGGCACTGATGATCAGTGTGCCCTGATGATCATTGTAGCCCCATCAGTGTCACCTGCCAGTGTCCATCAATGCCACATATCAGTGCCCATCTGAGCTGCCTTTCAGTGCCACCTATCAGTGCCATATATGTGTGCTGCCTGTCAATGCCCATCAGTGCCACCTACCAGTGCCTCCTCATCATGCAGCTCATCACTGCAGCCTCATTAGTGCACATCAGTGAAGGAGAAAAATCACTTATTTACAAAATGTTATAACAAACCAAAAACTGAAAATTTAAAAAAAAAAAAACAAACTTTTTCTTAGTTTGTTTAGCAAAAAATAAACCCAGAGGGTATTAAATACCACCAAAAGAAAGCGCTGTCTCAAAATTATAAAAATTTCATATGGGTACAGTGTTGCAGGACCACGCAACTGTCATTCAAAAGAACTTAGAAATGTATGCGAGGGCTGCTCTCCTAGAAGTCAGAATGGGTGATGTTACTACAGTTCTAGATGGCCATGAGGGGGATATAGAAAACCTACAAGCAGAAGTACATTCTCTTAAGAACCAGTTGGAAGAAGCGGAGTGTCAGGAATGGACTTGCCAGTAATGGTGGGACTCACCTGCCTTGTTGGCTGCAGTACCAGGGCTGGCCAGCGGGTGCTCCTAGCAATCAGAGACTCAACCCTGCAGCCAGCCAAACACCTGAAGCTGATTATGCAGGTGTATTTAAGGGATGGCCAGACCTGCAGTCGGGGCCATGGTGTGTGTTTTTCCTGGGCCCTGTATCTTGTTACCTGCATTCCTTTTCCTGTCCCTGTCTGACCGATTCGTTGCTGACCCTGCCTGATCCAGATCTCTGCCGACTTCTCCTGTTTGATCCCTGGCTTGTGACCCCGACCATTCTCTGCCTGACCCCCTGTTCCTACCTGCCCGATTGTTATTGACCCGGCCTGCCTGATGACGCTTGCATTATATGTGCGTTTATGTATTGTTAGTGTTAATAAATTATATTGTTTATATCATATCTGAAGCCTGCGTCTCCCTGCGTCAGTTCACATACCTCTGGTCATACCCTGGAGCCCTGACACGGAGAATAGAGCTCGTCGCAATATTCGTATTGGGGCCTACCTGAGACTATTACAGATCTTCATGGCTCTGTTATCCCTGTTACAGGAGTTAATCCCTGATGTCCCGGTGGATTGTTTGGAGATAGATAGGATAAACAGAGCCTTAGGCCTCAGACCACCTGCAGGCCCACCTCGGGACATCATTTTGAAGTTCCATTATTATAAAACGAAGGAACAGGGGATGCGCACGACTAGAGATTAAAACCTTTCGTTTCAGTCTCACCCTATCAGATCTACGCTGACCTCTCCCAAACTGCTATCTTGAAGAGGATATCTATGAAACCATATCTCCAAATCTTTCAGGATAATCACATTCTTTATTGCTGGGGGTTCCCCTTTAGATTGTGCTTTATTTATAAGGGGTCACAATATGATGCCTTTAATCCAGATCTTCAGAACCATGTGATAACTTGTTCTTTAAATGTGAAAGAAATGAAATCTGAGAATTACATCCCTCGGAACGGAATCAGGGATGTGAGATGGACAAGGGAGGCGATGGATTCTATTACAAATTCTGTATCTGAGGTCTTGGAGAATATAGATTTGAGTAGCTGCTGAATATAGGCTGGTAGTTGGTCTGGAAGGACAGATTCAGAAATTCCCCTTAGTTTTAGATTGTTTCTACGAGATCTGTCTTTTAAAAACGGCTATCTCGGGTGAGCAACTGTGGTCCTCCAGCTGTTGGTGAACTAAAAGTCCCATCATGTCTCTGCTTTTGGAAGTCATGCTTGTAACTGTCAGTTCCGCAATGCCTCGTGGGACTTGGGAGAGAGGGAGAGAGAGAGACTCCGGAGGGTGTGGCAGTCAGGTGGGAAAAGGTAGTCGGCCGCTGCAGGTGAGAGATCTCACTGGTGGATCGGAGCTCTGACAAGGAGCAGCCATCTTGGGTCACGGTCGCCACACCCCCCGGACTTAAACTTTAAAGAATATATTCCTTTTACAAAAAAAATTCAGTGGTTTAAAAAAAAAAAAAAAAAAAAAAAAAAAAAAAAAAAAAAAAAAAAAAGGCGTCGGGTCTTCCCCACAACACTGGGTCTTCCCCACACAGGGGGGCTTATCGGATTCTGGAAGTCCCCTTTAGCAAGGGACCCCCCATGTGAATGAGTATGAGGTACATGGTACCACTACTCATTCACCAAAAAAAAAAAAAAAAAAAAAAAAATCATCATCATCGATGTCACATGGGGGTGGGGGTCACCTGCATGATGTCCCCGGGTGGCCCCGCCCCTTACACGTTTAAAAACTGTCAAGCCAGCAGAGGCAGATGGCCGGGAGCCATCGTCAGGAGCGTAGCCGTTTTTTTTTTTTTTTTCTATTGTATTATTTTTTTCGGGTCGGCGGGCATCGTGATTGACGTTGGATCTACTATGGGGAACATTAGTAAAGTTTTTTTCTTTTAACCACTTGCCTACCGGGCACTTATACCCCCTTCTTTACCAGGCCAATTTTCAGCTTTCAGCGCTGTCGCACTTTGATTGACTATTGCGCGGTCATGCAAGATTGTACTCATATGAAATTTTTATAATTTTTTTCTCACAAATAGAGCCTTTTGGTGGTATTTAATTGCCGCTGGGCACTTTACTTTTTGCGCTATAAACAAAAAAAGTGCAAAAAAATTAAAAAAAAAAAAAAAGTTTCTATTATAAAATTTTTCAAACAGGTAATTTTTCTCCTTCACTGATGTGCGTTGATGAGGCAGCACTGATGGGCACTGACAGGCGGCACTGATAGGCAGCACTAATGAGGTGGCACGGATAGGCGGCACTGACAGGCAGCATTAATGAGGTGTCACAGATAGGTGGCACTGACTGGCATCACTGCTGGGCACTGACCGGCGGCACTGCTAGGCATTGACTGGCACAACCGCTGGGCACTGACTGGAGGCACTGCTGGGCACAGGTGGGTGGCACTGGTGGGCACTGGAAGGTGACACTTCTGGACACAGGTGTGGCACTGCTGGGGGGCACAGGTGGGCGCACTGCTGGGGGGCACAGGTGGGCACCGATCATCAGGTTCTTGGAAGTATTTTCCTCACGCTGTCAAAGTGCAGCCGAGAACCAGCAATTGCATTTCCCGGTGATCAGCGTGTCATTGGACACGGCTGATAACGTGGTAAAAGGCCGCTGTGATTGGCCTTTTACCACATCATGTGATCAGCTGTGTCCGTAGGACACAGCGATCACGAATATCGCCGGGGGCACACAGGAGAGAGTGTTCTGGGAGGATGTCATGACGCCCTCCCAGAACCGGCCAGCCGCAGTGTAGCCGTCATTCGGCTATTTGTGGTTGGCAAGTAGTTAATAAAGGACTTGTCAAAGACCGTGTCCTGTCTTTTTTCACACACTTTTTTTTGTGAATGAGTAGCGGTATCATGTACCCCACACTCACATGGGGGGGCCCAGGGGCCCCCTTGCTAAAGGGGGCTTCCAGATTTCGATAAGCGCCCCCCCGCCCGCAGACCCCCACAACCACAGCCCAAGGTTGTGTGGAAGAGGCCCTTGTCCCCATCAACATGGGGACAAGGTGCTTTGGGGAGGGGAGCTCAACAACTCCAAAGCACCCCCCTATATTGAGGGCATGTGACCTGGTATGGTTCAGGAAAGGGGGGGCGCTCGCTTGTCCCTCCCCCCCCTTCCCTGACCTGCATGCTCGGATAAGGGTCTGGAATGGATTTTGGGGGGGGGGGGGGGCATTTTTTTTTAAATTAATATTGGTGTGGGGCTTACCCTCACAATCTGAACCAGACCTGAAGGGCTTGGAATTGATGGGAGGGGGAACCCAGTATTTTTTAAATATTCTTTTAATTGCTGGCAATTCTTTTTACATTCAGCTGTCAGTGGGGAACTCCGCAGACAGCTGCAACATGAACGCATGCTTTACACTACTAAAAGCCTCACGATTTGATAAAAAATCATGCAGGATTTTAGTAGCTTTTTTTAGGGAATGCAAACGTGTTTTTAAAAAAATGATGTGCAGGATCCTCCTGCATACTTGGATACGGTAAGATATCGCGTAGTGAATTGTGTGCAGTGTGTTACAAAGGGCACTCCCCTCCTCCCCCCACTAACACTCTCTTACTCCTTTCTTGGAATCTCAGCTCTTGGCTTGACAAACCCTTCCTAAAGAGGGGTAGAATGTAAACCAGCAATGTCAAATCAATAATTAGTCCAGGCCCTTATCTTGCTTCTTATCCTTTTAAATGATTTTCTGTGACGGTTTTACATGACATTTATTCATATTTCTGTATATTTTGTGCGAAATGTTAATTTGATATATCATATTTCAAAGATCTAGAAAATATATATTATTGTGCCTTAAATATATGTCCTCGTATATCTCCCCAATTGTAACTGTTGAAATTTGGCGACAAAGATATATCTCAACAACAATAATCTCATAACTTCTATTTCCGATTATTAATCATTTATAAGAAGCGTTTCGGTGTTTCTAATACATTCATTTTCTTTGCGAAACATTTAATGAATGCTAGTACATTTTTGGAAGCATATATTATCTCCAGTATATATACTTATCTCTGTACTGTCCTTTACATTGATCATGCACATTGACCTATGTCTGGCACATACATCGTTTTACACTGAGCATGCCCAGCAACTTAGCCATTTGAGACATGTTTCTTGTTACACTGAGCATGCCCAGGTAATTGCCATTTCTGAGCGTGTGCCTTGTGTTACTGAGCATGCTCATGGACTTTGAAATTTGAGAGATTACAATAATGGTGGTCCAATGGCACTTTTTTATCAACATCTAAAAATAATCTTCACCCAACATCCCTCAGCTGTCCACATGCAGCACACACCAAACCAGCGTTGCTGAAATATTCATTCTTAAAATTAAAAACGAACACAAATGTTATGCTGTGTCACTAAATGAGACGTGTTGGGTATATGCATCGCAATCCCAAATGTTTACAATATCTCCCAAAATGTATTTGCTCCTTTCAATGCTTGTTGGTTTTACTTTGCAATAGTGGTGTCACCCTCTTTTTACAGCTTTTTTCACTCTGATTTTGGTACACAGCACATTTTGGAGGATAAATAGGACAATATTAGTATTGCAATTCTTTGTATTGGGATACATAGAACCAACAC